TTGAGGGTGTTCAGTCGAGTCTATTGAAGGAACAAATTGAATTCATTCTGTTGAATGAATTCTCTGGGTAGCGTCACACATCTGTTTCCAGGGCCTGTCACCTTTCTGTGAGAACCATCCCTTCTCATCAACAGATGTGCCTCTCAGAGTTCAGAAATTTCTGGTGACACATACACATCCTTAAAAGGCTAAGAATGCTGTGACAGGGGCAAGTTACAAAATAAAAATGAAGCTGTCAGTAGCTCCTTTAACAGGCATTATCAGCCGTGGGTAATGCTCACTTGTAGGAGGAACTGGCAACTTGGTGGGCCTGGGAGCAAGAACTCACAGAGGGCTGCCCCGGCCCTGGATGGGACTGGTGCAACTGTCCCTCTGCCGACCACAGAAGCGAGGGAAGGTGCCTCTCTGCACAGCCCGCATCTGCGAGAACTCTGGAGCACCTGGGTACCCTGCAGGCTCTTCCCCCTCGCCCAGCAGCCTGGGCTGGGGGTGAGCCAGGGACACTGCTTCTGCCTGAAGAGGTCAGGAAGGAAGGGTGTTAGTGCAAGTTCCCCTAGAAGCCGGGCCTGGGAAGCTTCAAGAGCAGCGCGTTTATGTGGGAGAAGGAAACCCCAGTAGTGGAGCAGGGAAGGGAGTCAGGAGAGGGAGGGCAGTCAGCAGCTGGACGTCCCCCTGCGGGAAGCCACCCACCCTCACCTCTCCTTGGCCTTCGGCTGAGAGCTGCTCCCAGATGGTGTAATTCCCTCGCACTTTCCGGCAGGCAGCTTTCCGGGGCTGGGAAAAGCACCCCGGTAAAGGATGCAGGCGGGGCAGGAGGACGGTCCAGCAGCCCTGAAGTGGTCTTCCCGGGGGGCACCTGCTGCACAGGGTCTCTGCTCCTGGCGGCCAGTGGGGGGTGCCAGTGTGTGTGTGGTGGCCACTGGTGAGGGGTCACCGTCGCCAGCATGAGAAGTGTGCCAGGCCCTCCAACCTTTTGATGGCAAAACCTGTGGTTGATCAAGTCTCTTGGAGGGATGGTGGTGTGACCCACGGGAGGGAAAGCCCCTTGTTGCCTGGGCCTGGGACAGAGGCCTAGGCTAGGGATGGGCCCAAGCACAAAATCTAGGGTGCCGCTGGCCTCACGGCTCTACCTAAGCTATAGAGACCCCCCAACCTGTCCTAGTTCCTAGCTTCAGACTTGGAGTGCACTCCCCTCCCACGCCCACCCCGTGGCCTCTTCACCAAACTCCCCACTGGGTGTGAGGCCACCAGGCAAACTTGGCGCTGAGGGGAGAAAGTGGGGTGCTGGTGGCAAGCCATTGGGGCCACCCCCAAATGGCCTCTTGGACCAGCGGGCTGAGCAGGGCTGCCTCCGGTGGGCCCCTGGGGTTGATGCAGCCCCGGGAGCAGATGGCCAGGCCTCCGGGAAGCTGCTGGGGCCCTCGCTGTCAACAGAAGGGGTGGGACTATATGCCCTCTGGGGGTTCCTTTAGAATTAAGCATCACGTTTGAAACTGTCCTGCATTTCACCAGGTGGCCGGCTCTGTTCTAAGTGCTTTACATGTGTTGTCCTGTTCGATCCTCACCGCACCCTGTGAAGTAGGTGACTACCACTAGCCCCAGTTTGCAGATAAAGAAACTGAGGCCCCAGAGGTTAAGCAACTTGCCCAAACTGGAGAGGAAGGGAAGGGCCGAGTTAGGTGAGAGCCCTGGGTCAGGCCTGAGTCCCAGCTGCCCCGTGCAGCGGCGTGTGTGAGGCTGGGCTGGGGGCACAGCCTACCATGCACGCCCCGCCTGGCCGTGCCCTGGGTGGTGGGGCTCCTCGGGGTCAGGCCTGGTCAGCACCTTGGGCCCCTGCCCCCGGCCTGGAACGAGTCAAGCTACATTCTCAGTTTGACATTAGTTTTTTATTTTAACCATATTGAATGTGATCACTTTGTCAAAAGGATAAGTCATTTCTTAAATCAATGTGAGTTACAGCATAAAGATGAATGAGAAAAAAGCGACAGGAGATAAATGGCAGAACTGAGTATCCCGTGAATCAACTGAACTGTGCCATTGTGAGAAAATTATGATGACAACTTTTACATCAAAGTGGTCTCAAGCCTGTTTACAGGAACTTTATATTTCTTTTCAACACTATAAAAAGAGAGCTTTTGAAAGTAACACTGAGGAAGCGGTTCGGGCCCGTGGGAAGGAAGCCCTGCCGGCTGCCGCCGGCAGTTCATCCCGGCCTCCTCTCCCCGCCGCCGCCTCCCCATGCCCCGGCTCTGGACACACGGGGGGCGGAGGCCAGGTGTGCATCTGCGGGGTGGGAGCGACGGATGGCCAGGGGCTCCACAGGACGGCCACTCAGAGCGCAGGGACATAAGTCCTCCACACACTCCGGTTCTGCAATGACCCCTGGGGGCAGCTTCTTAAAGAAACAATAAAATAAAATAAGACCGCTAAATTTGGGTCAACTCTGGCAGGTTATTATTAGAAGACAGTTTTGTATTTGTTCGTGGTCTCTGATGCAGCGGAGGAGCATTCTTGTTAGTGGCGGGCAATCAAACCCCGAAAGACCCACGCCGAGATTCAGCTCAGTCACAAGCGGAGAAGGCCAATCGCAGGGGGGCCGTGGCTTATGTGTAGCCACATTCATTCTGCGGGGATATGATTTCTTACCAGACTGCAGTTAGCAGTGAGCATGAGCAGGAGGTCATCTTTGGAAGAGTAATCAGCATAATTAAACGTTTAAAGTGTTATATGACCCCTTGGCATACACACAAGATAAGGCAAAGTCATAATGACTTTGTTTCTCTAACCTGTCACTCTCATATATAAGGTACAGAGATAAATTTTAACTCAAATTTCCAAACCGATCAGAGAGGAATGAATGAAACACAGGGACATGTATAAAAAAGTAGGTGACAATGAGAATTAATCTAAGATTTATGTATATAAAATATATTTAACTGCTAATAATCAAAACATGAGAGGGTTCCACTGATTACATTTGTTAAAGAAAAAAAGTTTCATATATCAGGATTTAAAAAATGTGTAATTAAACATAAGTACCTGATGATAAAAAAGGAAGGAACATATATTCTTGGATAGCACTGTAACTAATAAAAATGCAAACAACGTTCAACTATGAAGAATAAAAACAAGTCACTTAAAAAAGATAAGACAGTAACAATTCTCACTCATGAACCTTTGGGAATTTGAGGGTGGCACTGCCTGTACCCCACTCCCCCCTCGTGTGTTTCTCTTCTCTGAGGAGGGAACAGCTTGTCGGGGGCCACAGAAGCAACCCGAGTGACCTCACTGGTTCTCACGTGGCACCAACACGGAAGCACAGGATGCAGGACCCACGCGAGCGTGCGGGCAGGGCTGGGAGTTTTCAGCGACTGTTCAACGCCCAGCCAACTGAGGGAACTAGCCTGGCGCCTTGTCGGTGTGGTGGGTGTCTGGGCTATTGTGTGGCCAGTGACACTCGGCTATCATGACTCTAGCTCTCAGGGCCAAAGAGATGCTGAAAGTGAGCAGACGACTGTGGCCCAGCAGCCAGGGGACAGCCAGCTCGTGGTCCTTTCCAGTCTCTGTCCTAGAACCCCCGCAAAGACAGGGCCACACTTCTTACCTTAGAACAGAAACCATCAGCACCTTGCCAGGCCAGGTACTTTGAGAGAAAGTAATGGCAACCCCTGTGCAGTTGCAAGGCCACTCACTATATGGGGACATTGGGAGCTTAGGAAGTGTCGTCAAGGGAACATGTACTCGGCAGCAACTTACTCAGTGAGTCACACCCATAGGGTGCTGAGCGACCACTCAGAGTCAGAGCCAGAGAGCTAATCAGTGCATCTCTGAGTAATCGTGGAGGCCAAACAACCCTGTTATCTGAGCAAAACCAGAGTTTCCACCTTACATGCCGATGTGTTGGGAGGAGATTTCCCTGCTCGAGTTTAAGAACAAACTGTAGAGCTAACTCGAACCCTCTCTGCAGTAGCTGACTCTCGAGTCGTCACTATCTCCGTGGAGAGCAAGTGGGAAATCATGTCATTACCACACGTGTCTATAGAGAAACACATGAGCAGCGGTGGGAGGGACGTCAACGGTGTCTATTCTTTCATACTTAGCTTTTTGCTTGTTGCCACAAAGCTTCCACTGCCCAGGATGGCCTTGCCATCCTCAGAGAAGCCCAAAGAAGCAGTCAGCCCAGGGCAAGGGCGGCTCCTCCTTGACGGAGGTCACCATGTCCATCCTGTTAGAATTCCTACTCAGGCAAAGGAGAGAAGTGTCCTTTTCATGGCCCTTCTCCTTAAGGAGAGAAACAGCTCATGTGACGCTTTGTGCCCATCATGGTTCCCTAAGTTGCAACTGACAAGGGGAATCTCTGTTCTATGCTGACACCCAGGAAGGCACCGAACGTCAGACCCGGGCCTGTCCTGTCCTGGAGCCTGGGACGCACAATTGAGCCCAGGCCTGCAGCTCCGACACTTGGCTCCCAGCAAGGGAAGGGCTGCACAGAATCCTGCATCCTCCTGGCATCTGGAATGTTCTCTAGGAAGCCCTGCTCCCCCAGAAGGGACTCCAGGTCTAATTCCCTATTACTGCTACCTTAAGGCCAATGGGCTATCCTGACTCTGGATGGGAATGAGCTTGGGTTTTTCCCTTTACTCTTAAGTTAACAGGTGACTACAGCCCCAAAACTACAGAAACTTTCCCCAAAAACTGACTGTCTGAAAGGTGTTCATCCCACAAAGTCAGGGTCATATTTTCCAATTCAAGGAATAATATTCTTACAACTTTTGAAATCAGTGCAGCAAAGATTTGCTTAAAGTGATGTGTTTTCTGGCTGTGAAAGATAATGTGAAATACAACTGTTTAAGGAAGGACCAGAGTCGATCTGGCCTGAGGCTGCATTCTTCAACAAATGAAAAAATCTAAACCACAGCACACCAAAATATGATTCCTAAGTTTAGACCCTGTCTCTAAAGATCATTGTAATTTTCTGAGATGTCAGTAATGGGTTTTTTCCAGCACTGGAATCCACTAGTTCTAGTCCATTCTGTTGCATTTGGCTCTGCTGTATGGCTTCCCAAGGGAGGAATGAAATAGGCTGAGATAGAGATTTCCAGAGAGAAAGTTTTCTTGATATCAATTTTCCTATGCCTGATGCTCTGAGGGAGGGAAGATTTGAAACCAACTCTTCTTCCTTCTTCTAGATATAACTGATGGAGTTGCCACACCTGTCTAGTTGGGGAGGAGAGCACAGAGGAAGAGTGATTTTACTCGTGGTTTGGTCTTTCTTGATAGTGATGGTGACACAGTACTTAACCCAGCTCTAGCTTGGGTAAGGGTGGGTGGGGTGGGGTTGGGCCCATGAAGCGCCCCCTGCATTTTGGTGAACATCAGTCTGTGTGCTTTGGGGCCTGATCTGCTTCCCTCTCAAGGGTTCCAGTGGGCTGCACCAATGCCACATGCGTGCTGAGAAAGAAGTGTTGGTTCCAGAGGGGCCTCCACTGGGGGAGCCTCAGCCTGGCCCTGGGGCTGCTGAGGCGGGCGGCCGGGTCCCCATGAGGCAGACCTGGGGCACTGTGGTCAGATGTCCAGGGGGCTCACAATAGTGAAGCCAGAGTCCTTACTGTTGTTGCTGCTGTCGTCATCGGGGCTGGAGCTAGGATTGCTGGAGGAAGCTGAGGGTGGGCCCATCAGCGGGTCGGAGAACACCAGAGGGTAGCGGGTCGGGGCCTCGCTTTTCCCAGATGTGCTTCTGAGGGTGCGAAGAGGCTGGGCTTGGCCCGCGAAGGACGCCCTGGTGCTGCCCCCCTCGTCGTCTTTGGAAACCAGGATGAAGTCGTCTGAGATCCCTCTGTCTGTGCGCCCCAGCGCTTCTGAAGAGGCCTGTAAGGTACAATCAGAAGTGTAGGTGGATGAGAGAAGAAACAGCGAGTGGAGGCCCTGTGAGCTGGGGAGCGCACCATGGAAATCTAGGCCACCTCGCCCTATGCTCTTCCTTGGAAAGACGCAGTATTTGGTCCTGCTTCCCTGAAGCCCAGGCCTTTCCCAGTGGAGCAGGGCCAGCCCCTCCGAAGCTGAATGCTGGCTTCCCAGAGAACAGAGTCAACCTCCTTCTTGGGCAGTTGTTGAGAGAGGCCAGCTCAGGGGCCGGCCAGCAGGCTGGAGACAGAATCCTTATCAGCTCCACGTGGCACCCTGCCATGTAAGTCACTCCTGCTCCTAGGGCTTGAACTCTCTCCTCTATGAAATGGGGATGAGGACAGCGTGTGGTCACCATGCAGGGACATGACGTGCACGACGTGAATCCTGTAGGACTGGCTCCCTAACATAAGCCTCAGATCCGGAGTGATTTTCCTACCTGCTTAAAGGATAGCTTTAGGACGCCCCAGTGTATTTCATCTCATCTATATCTCATAGCTGGCTTGTGCTGGGTATGCACTTGGGGGTCCCCTGGGACAGTGGTGGTAACTGGTAGGTTCTACAAACACGAACACCAGGAACGGTCATTGCAAAGTATACAGCAAAAAGTATGGAGACAGCAATTGTTTTACTCTACAATTATTTTCCTTTCTAAGCAATTGTGAGTAGCATTTTGATTTTTAACTAAAGAAGCTGACATCCATGAACTGGTAAAGGTTTCAGGTTAAGATCAGAGAAACTCCTGCCTCCCCTGCGATGGAAGTAAAGCCACAGTCTGACCAAGGATGTTCCAACACCAGCCTGGCAGAAAGGGCACTTTACCCAGTGCTGTAAGCCGGGGTAATGCGGCACCTGCTCCCCACCCACCTGCCTACCCTCCCCCCAGCGTGGGTGGGACGGGTGCAGGGTCTGAAGTCTAATGAGATGTACAGAGTCCCTTGGCTGGAAGTGCCCCCCGGGTCCTCTGGGCTCCAGACTGGCATGGCTGAGGTCACCTGCGGGTTGTAGGCAGAGCCTGGACAGGTAGTGGGCAACACTTCTAAGGGAAATCCGGGCCTGACTGACAGGCCCTCTCTGAATCTCATGTTCGCCTTCGTGACAGGGGAGGGGGACGAGTGGCCAGTGGCTAATAGTGGCTTAGGTGCCTCCACCCTTCAAGAATTCGTCTGCCTTTAAGATATTTAATTGGAGAACAGAAACAGAATTTGCCTTTAAGATCAAAGTGCTGAAACAACAGGCCTTGAGGTTCTTCATTTCAAGTTTTAAAGCTGTTTACATTCTATCAACACATTAATTCTTACAAAACTGAAGAGATACGCAGCACATAACCCTCTGTTAGAAGGGGATGTGAGCACAAATGGCACTAGAGCAGTTTGGGAGAGAAAGACTGTCCTTTTCATCCCCTTTGCTGTCCCTCTGTAAGGGGCACCTTGTCAGGGCTGAGTTGCCTTTGGGGAGGTTAGAAGGGACATCTGAGTGGGGCTTGTCTTCTCACACATATGCACATGGGTGCTGTTTTTAAAGTGGTGTCTCTACTACAGAAATACCATGATAACCTATTCTCCTTCAGCTTATAGTGAAGATATTAGCAAGACTTTGAAGAGGAGAAATATATTACAAAACCTGAGGCTAGAAGTAAAGATGGTTCCTGCCATCACTAATTTTCTGGCGTGTTTCTGGAAAAGTAGTGAAGGAAGTCAAGTTATAAATTGTGAGTAACAGCCCCGCCCCCCAAATTCCCAGATAATTCCCATGGCCTGGCTTAGACAAAGCACGTTAGAGCAGACAGAGCCTCAGCAACCATCTTCTTTTATTATCCCCCAACCTTTATATCAAGAAATGAAGCCCAGATTGGAGGCCTGGTGGCTTGGCCAATGTCACAAAGCAAAGACCCTGTTCCTCTGGACTCCCACCTAGAACTCTTCTAGAAACAAAGATGCCTTCTTTCAGGATTTCCATAGCAGTGTGAGCTATTACCTGGTGCCATTTATATCATTTACAGAAACTTTGTAAATTCCTAGGTCAATCCTCCATTTTTGCCAAACACAGGCATGTACTGCACGATTAAAAAAGTTTGTCAACCTGTCAGTCCTGCCTAAAACTGGCCAGGACCACCGCAGTATACACCCCCACCGCCATCCCCACCCTGCTTCATTTCTTAGCTTGGGTTTAGGATCATGGTGAGGCAGGTGAGCCCAACTACAGACCAGTGCTTTCAACAGAAATCTTCCATGATGATGGAAAGGCTCTCCCTCCGTGCTGGCAGCACAGCAGCCCCTAGCCACATGCAGATACCGAGCACTTGAAAGGTGGCTAGTGTGACTGAGGAACTGAATTTTTAACTTTTAATTCTATTTAATCGTAATGAATTTAAATTTGATTTTAAATAGACAAGTGTGGCTAGCGGCTACTGTTCTAGACGATGCAGCTATAGACCATTCAGGTAAAAACATGCGCCCCAAGTACCAGTGAGGCAGGTGACATTGGCTGCTTGACTGACAAACCCAGGGTCCTACGAAGTCCTGCCTTCTACTGTGGTAGATTTGAGTGAAGCTCATCAAAACCTTCCCGAAAGAGTGTGTGAAGGACAGACTCTGGATGGGAGGGACAGAATGTGGCTCTTTTCACTCCACAAAATACAATTTCACATCTGCTGTCTTCAGAGCTGGAGATAAGGTTTGTAATCAAATGGGAAGAACAATATTAGCCGCCTCTCCACCACCCTCCCAGCAGGGAGCGGGGCACGGGCATTCCCACAAAGGAAGAGCCTTCTGAAGGTCCTGATGGGGAAGGGCATTGGCAGGAGAGCCCTGAGCCATCTGCCTCAAGGCAGGTGAGCCTGGTCCTCTGCACCATCCTTTAGACATGCTTCAGTGATTAGCCAAGAAAGCACAGACAATCCATTGCTAAGTTAGGAATGAGCTGTGGCACAACCTGCCACAGACCCAAAACCTGGTGATTACATCTCCAGAAAACGTCGCAAAAGCCTGCCTAGCACTGCTCCCCCAGCCTCTGGCCCCACTGAACTGGAAGCTCTTGAGAGCAGGGGCTACATTCCATAACTCTGGACACCTGGTCCCTGGCACAGCAGGACCTCAACTCACATTTGGAAGGAAGCAGGGAAAAAGCCTTCAGAACTCCCACTTGGCCACTGGGCACGCATGTTCCTGTCCGCAGCCAGCACCCCTGCCCCTTCCCCACAAGCAGTGGGAAAGTAAAGCCAGCCAGCTCCAAGCCCTGATGGCAGCCCCAAGGCTTGCGACGAGTGTTCCTGAAGGAAGAAGGTGGGTCAGGGCTTCCCGTCTGGTGGCCCCTTTACCATCTACTCCAGATCCCTGGGCGCTGCCGCGGACGGCCCCACACACTTGGCTTGTCTGGGTGACCTTCTTGCATCTGGGATTTCTCTTGCCTCCTCCTCCAAAGGCGAGAGGGGAGCACTGCTTCCCGATTTCCCCCTTCCTCAGAGGAAACCTTGTTCAAGAATACTGGCTTCTTATAAATTGCTGACACCCTTGGGGAAGGGGCCCTGGCAGGGAATGAGCAGAGAAGAGAAGCCCTTCTATTTTCCCTTTTCCCACTTGTCTTCTTTCTCACTTAACTCTACAGAGGAAGAGAGAAGCAGAGAAGGCTGCAGTGGGGTCTGCAGGCCTAGGAGGGGCTGACTACGTTTCAGAAGCACGTACAGAGGCGAACATTCTCCTGGATGCAGCACAGGACCGTGGCCCTGCAGACAAGGGCATATCCTCTTTCATCTCACGTCTATCTCGTAGCTGGCTCATCCTGAGTATGCACGTGGGGGTCCACTGGGGCTGCAGTGGTAACAGGTAAGTTCTTACAAATATGAAAACCGGGAACAACAATTGTAAAGTATAATCAAGAAGTTTTAAATTTAGAAAATTCATTAGTGTTTTTGAAAGGTCTTTTTCTGTAGTATTTTTACAAATTCAACTAAAAAAAATCATGTGATGTTTTAAATGAAATTGTCAATTAAAAATGGTTGGGGGGGTGAGCCTAAGCCCAACAATATTTGAACAAATAAGTGATTACTGAAAAATTAAACACTGGTGCAGGGAAAGAGAATCTGGAGGAACTAACCAAATTAAACTTGCAATGTTACTGTTGTCTCATGTGGCTAAAAATGCAGACTCAAAATGCTCTGTGAAAACTTCCTCTACAGCTGGACGACGTTACCCACACAGGCTCCTGTGCTCCTCTTGAAGAGTATTCTTCAAACTGGAAAAGTCTGCATTCTAAAATGTCATTTTGTTTTTTTAAAATCATAAAAATTAAATAATTTACAAGCATCTGGATGCTGGTTTTTGAGAAAGTGACTTGGATGAGATTTTGCTAATGTTCACTTTCAAGATGAAACTTCGTAAGCCATTTAAAAAGAATATTACTAGGAATTTTTGGTCCAATCAGATAAGGCACCGTGAGGCGGCATGGAGGGGCGGGAGCAGTGTCACTGGATTGGGACCCAGGTTCTGAAAACGGAACGTCTGGCGACCCCATGCGCCTCTTTGGCCTTCGTTTCCTCACCAGTAAACGAGCAGGCAGGACTAAGCGCGTGAGGCGTTTCTTAGATCCTTTCTAACTGGAAAATTCTGTGATTCTATGTTAGAATAAATTATACACAACATCAACATCTGAGAATAGGGGTCAGCAAACTATGGCCTCTGGGCCAAATCTGGCCTGTGGCCTGATTTTGTACGGCCCTCAAGCTGAGAATGGCTTACACATTTTTAAAGGGCTGTAAAAACAAACAGACAAACAGAAACACCAAATACAAAAACAAATATGTGACAGAGCCATATGCGGCCTGCAAATCCTAAAATATTTACTATCTGGCCCTTTACAGAAAAAGTTTGCTGACTTCTCTGCCTTAGAGGATGGAGGTTAATGAGAAGTCTTTCCCCTTGAAGGTAAAAAAGATTCCAGCCAAGTGAAATACACTCAAGACAGCATTAGGAAAGCATGGACAGTACTTCCTGTGCCAAAGAGGAATGCAGGCATCAGCTGGAGGCAACTGACCAATAACAGAGGCAGAGATCGGGCTTTCTAATGCCACACAGTGGGACTGGCAGGAGGTTCAGGCCAAAGCTTCTGCATACAGGTGTGCAGGTTGTGCACTGCACAACTCTAGGAAACACTAGTCTAATTATTATCATTGTGAATGGCGCCCCCTAGGGCACTGAAGTATACAATCTGCACAGCTATATACAGCATCCCTGGCTCAGGCCACTTGTGGTATTTTACAGTTGAACTTCACACGTGGTAATTTTAAGCAACTTTGGTAAGGTTTTTTATTATTCAGAACTTTGAAGAATTACGTGAATGCGCCGCCATCCAGTTAATGTGACACTGTTCATCAGAGCTCCTGTACCTGCTTGGCGGCCCCAGGCATTTGAGCACTCTGGCCCTGGCCTTGGCCCTGGCCACTGGAGCAGTAGTGGTCATCTGAGATGGTGATCTGCTCGTTCTCCTCGGCCTCCAGCTGGCTCTGGTTGAAACGCAGGGAACCTTTCAGAATGTCTTTGATCTGTTTTCAAAGAAGAAGAAAATAAACAAAAAAGATGAATGAGTTTGTTTTTAAATGCTAGCTAAACCTCTAAAACATTTAAACTAGACTTGTCATTGACCATTTTTTAAGAGTATGGATATGAATATATCACCATACAAAAGAAATTTAAAAAGTCCAACTCTATCAAAGTCATTGACTTATTAACGACTAAGGAAAATTTCAGAGTCTTAATGGCCAGGTTCTCACAGGGTCGGACATGGGTGTCACATCCTTGGAAGTTATCTAAAGCAGGAAGCACCGTCTGCCTGCACACCCAGCCCCGCTGAGCAGCCCTTGGCTATTCAAGTGGCTCCACTCCAGCTGAGCTGTTAATAACACAGGCGGACATCTGAGAGCAGCACACTCTTTTCGCTGACATTTACATTCCATTTAGGAATGGAACCCTCTTTGAGGGTGAATCAGTGTGGCCCTTGAGGCTCTGAGGCCTGCTGTAGGTAGTGATTATGACTTGTGCTCCAAGGACATGTGTATATTGATGGATGAACGACTGAACGTGATGGTGGACTACACCACACCAACTTTAAGTGAGGAACAAACAGAATAGGTTTGGTAAGAGGAAGGGGCAGGGGTGGGAAATGGAAAACCAGTTGGGGCTGCAAGCTAATCAGATATAATCACCAGAAGGATCAAGGGGTGTGAGGAGCTGAGGATTCAGGAGGGGCTCTGTCTGGGAGGAAATGAGGGGCTAGGGGGACACTGGCTCTGATATTGTGGTATGCCATGCCCCAGGGTGCCCTCCCCAACACTAAAAGGGTGGCCCGTGGGACACAAAGTCAGATCAATGGACATACCTGTTTTAATCCTGCCAGGGAAACCAGAATTTGATCTTCTTTTTCCAAATTTTCTTGTAATATCACATCTTGAATATTCACTGAAAATAGATGATATTTTTTTTAAATTGAAGTATAGTCGACAGTACAATATCATGTTAGTTAAGTGTCCAACAGTGATTCAATATTTATGTACATTATGAAATGATCACCACGATAAGTCTAGTTACCATCTGTCACCATACAAAGTTCTTACAATATTATTGACTATATTCCCTATGCTGTGTATTACACCCCTCTGACTACTTATTTTATAACTGGAAGTCTGTACCTCTAGAATGACATTTTATAACTAATGCTCTGAGTATAACTTACCTGCTGCCATACCATAACTTCAGACAAACTCGGGAATTTTTCTGCCAAACTTCACAGCAACTATTCCCACTAAGGATGGTGTGCCAAACTGCAGATGGGGCCGGCGCCGGGCAGAGCAGAGGGGAGCGCTGAGCCTGGTAGGCACGGCCTTCCCACCAACAGTCCACGAATGCGTTCTTACAGTGACTGACGTGTCTGCACTTCCGCAGAGACCAGGGCGCCTTTTGCTGACCCACGATGTGGTGGACAGCCTAGAACATTCATCCAACCTCTAGGCGGAAGGCTTTCAGACTGGGCTTTCTACACTGCCTCACAGTTCACTGATGTCAACTCACCTCTCTCTCTAAAGACCAGCTCTTCCCAGGTGACTGAAATTAATAAAAACACCATCTTTAAGGAATTAAACAGTAAAGCATGTTGTAGATTCAACATAATGGCAAAAATAAAGGCCCTACAGGTTGCCATCAGACACACACTAAGCATTTACTGACCGAATGAATGAACGAACAAACGTGGAAAAATACTCTTGGAACTTGCATTTCAAAACACTGGTATTCTAAATACTTGCAAAAAGTATTTCCAGTAGGGGCAAGGCCAAGACTGATACCATTAACATGGGTCCCGCCTGACAATTTATTAGAATCTTCAGTAAGAATCAATCTATAAGCCATGCTGACAAGTCCTCTCCCATACCACAGCAGAAAAACAGCAGCTTTTATTTATTCAGAAAATGTGACTGTAGTTTCTGGCTAACAGAAAGGCCTGCTCCAAAAGAAAGCAAGATGAATGGGAATGGAATAATAGATATAATTAGATAGTGAATGTTTCTGGTTTCCTTAAAAGCCTGTAGGAACTTGTTCTCTCTCAATAAAAAACAACACAAAATCCACTCAACAAGACATTAACAACAACCAACTGCAGAAAATTGACAAGAAACAGTTCTGTGGGTCTTTTAGAGGATTAAAAAAGGTTACTTTTGTTTTTACCACTGCTATGGCTTTTAAAGCAGAGCTCTGAGGGCCCCAGGGCTGCCTGAGCAGCGAGGCACATGTGGACTGGGCAGTTTGGTGAGGCAGTGGGTTCTGCCCCACTGAGCTGCAAGGTGGGGCAGATTTCTCAGCTCCTGCTGTGTAAGCGGGGGCAGCAGGGGGACAGCTCCCAGGCTTGAGAGGAAGCTCAGCCAATGGATGCAGGAGCACCAGGACATCTGGAGGAAGCATTGGGGGCTTCTTGGGTCCAAGGAACTAATGGAGGGGAGGCCCCTGGGGGCCACACCCAGCATATTGGGAGGCCAGGAGAAGAGGCAATCTGCAGAAACCAAACATGATTCTTCCTGCTGACCTGACTGGACCTTCATCTCCTGCTGCCCCTTGATAGTCCGCTATAGAACGTAGCCTGAAGCAAAAGTGTTTGGCCAAATTGGCTGGCTCCTGCCCCCAGTGTAATGGTGGGGCCCAAGGTCAGCAGCAACAAGGACCAAACACCTTTGGGGTCAGAGGCTGCCGCCCTACAGGGCAGTTAGTGGTTCCAGTGGGGACAGAGGCCCAGGAATATGCAGGAACAGAGCTCCCCTTAGAGGCCAACAGAGAACCAGAGGGCACTCAAGAGGCCCTTCCTCAAACACCAAAGAGACATGTGAGCCATCCCAGAACCCTGACACCATCCTGGCAGGGAGAAGAGACAAAGTGGAGAAACTACCTGTGGGCATGTGCTCAGATGAGATGCTTAACCTGTAAGAGACCGAGTTGCCTTTAATTGGCAAGTTTAAGCCTTGGACTGCCACTGGTGGGAATGGAAGTTCAGAGCACGATTTCTACACGCCTGAGTTTAGGTATATAGATTTACTGGCCCCAACTAGGCTCCTCCAGAAACTCAAAGATGGGTTTGGAAGCAATTAACTGTTTTTCCAAGTTGTTTCTTTTCCTTTTGTATGTTAAGGAGATGTAACCACCAACCATCCTGAAACTGACCAAGCGAGAAACTCAAGGGAGATATAACCACCAACCAAGCATCCTGAAACTGACAAAGCCTCATCACTTGAGCTATGCCCAGGACCTCTGCCTTATTTTTAATGCCAAGATCTCTCCAGGAGGAGCTTAGGCCTCATTATGTGGAAGCATGTTCTCCAACTGAGCCTGTGCAAGTGAATACCTGCCTCTCCCTTTTGAATATTCATTCCCCATCCAAAATAAAAGTTCCTGCTTCCCTTTGTTTGGGGACGCCATGACTTTGCAAATGATTCCTCATGGCCTCCTATTTGCTGCAAATACACTTTACTTTGTGAGACAACTTCCACTGGTGTAGAGTCTTATTTAACTCACCAGGAGGCAACCCCACTTGGTTTGGTAACATTACTATCTCACTACAAAAGTATCAGTGCCCACCTGAGATCTTACAAAATCCAACTGGCCATGTTGCCTGAAAATCCCCTGAACCAAGACGCCCTAGCCATCTTCTCTTAGATGCCCTGTTTTGCTGTGAGCCTGCCACAAACGCATATACTCAGGAGTCTTGGTGGTGATGCTTGCAGGGGTAGGTCGAAAAGGGGAGTGGTGGTGAAGGCAGAAGATATGGGTGTATTGGGAAGATGGAACAAGAGAAACCTGTTGTCTTTTTGTTACAGGCCTACGGGGGAATGATGCCCCATGTTCTAAAGGCCACATCCCCCCACGTGCTCCCTCTTGATAAGACCATGAGCAGCCACCAACTCTAGATCCTCCCTACTGCACTGCCTCTTAGGTCTACAGAGGTGGCAGAGCTGCTGGTGGCTACCCCAACTCTACCCTCCACTCCTTCCACACCAACACGTCCCAGATTTTATTCAGGGCGGCACTGTGCGCACCTTCCCTTGCAGCCAAGGTTGGTCATGTGACACAGTTCTGGCTAATGAAGTATAAGAGAAATCCCTGGATGGAGCTTCTGGAAAGCTCCTCATGGGGGACTGACTCAGTTTGTGTCTTTACTCTCCCCAGTTTTGCTGCCTGGAATGCCAGCATGCGGATGAGGGTCACAGCTTAAGGACAGCAGGCAGAAAGCCCGAAGGCACCTGGGGCACTGGGCACATCATGTTGCTGCCATCCCTGCTCAGACTGCCCACCTCTGGCTTCTTTTCTTTAAGAAAAAAATAACCTCCTGATTTGTTTATCCTACTATTTTTGGGTTTATGTTATTAGCAGCAGCTGTATTAGTTTCAAAGTACTACACACTGGGTGGTTTAAAACAACAGAAATTTATTCTCAGTTCTGGAGGTTATAAGTCCCAAGTCAAGGTTGGTAGGGCCACACTCCCTAAAGGTTCTAGGGAAGCATTCTTCCTTGCCTCTTCTTTTTTTTTTTTTTTAATAATTTTATTTATTTATTTATTTTTTCCCCCAAAGCCCCAGTAGATAGTTGTATGTCATAGCTGCACATCCTTCTAGCTGCTGCACGCAGGACGCGGCCTCAGCATGGCCAGAGAAACGGTGCCCGAACCCGGGCTGCCAGCAGGGGAGCCTGTGCACTTAACCGCCAAGCCACAGGGCCGGCCCCATTCCTTGCCTCTTCTTAGATTCTGGCAGTTGTCGACAATCCTTGGCTTTCCTTGGCTTTGTCTTCTTCATCACGTGGCACTCTCCCTGTGTGTCTGTGTCCAAATTTCCCTCTTTTAATAAGGACTCCAGTCATTGGATTACAGCCTAGGCCTACCCTAATCCAGTATGACCTCATCTCAACTTGATTACATCTGTAAAGACCCTATTTCCAAATAAGGTCACATTCATAGGTTCTGGGTGGACATGAATTTAAGGGGAACATTATTTGACTCAGTACAGCAGCTACTGCCTGTTATCCAGAATGAAAATCATCTAGTTCCTCTAATGAAAGGGGACAAAAGAGCCCCGCCCACTCCTCTCCTGCCTGCAGAATATGATTCAAGTCCCAGGCTGGCTCCAGCCTGATGTGTACCGTGGGCAGCCAAGGGCTCAGCCAGGGAGGGAGGAGAGCCCAGAGCCTCAGTATCATTGCTGTGTACCCTCCCCTAGCAATTCTGCAGCCTTAATTTTTGGATAGGATCAATGATAACCTTTAGAATCTGATGAAAACCAGGACCTTCTCCCCTGAAAACCTACATACACATAAAATGTTCACTTAATTTTAAGTGAACCTCTCCTATAATCAACTAAGCCAACTAGTCTCGCTTTAAGAAAGCCAGGGTATAGAAATCCAAATTAAAACAAAAGGGCACCTTCAGAGGCTGTTAAATGTTTTGAATAGAAGAATTTTTATTTTACTAACCAAGTACTGACTATGTAAATCTTTTGCCTAACCAGTTCCACTATATATTGATTTAAGGTAGCATTTATGAACATTCTACTAATACATACTAATGTATAATGTCTCAGTAACAAATCTATGGCTTTAAGTAAGTTGCACCTACATATAGAAAAAGAAAAACATAATCATGTCTTTTCATGCCTTAAAATATTAAAGGCAGAAATGTGAAATGTTTAAATTTCCAATGTAATGCCTATTTTTCCTCGTAACAAGAGGCAGAATAAATTATGATATAAAGGCTCTTTCTTTTTGTTTCTGTGTAGAAGCAAGATGACATTCTTTTAATCTCCTTCTATGTATTATATACTATAAATGTTAAAGCACTGCAACTAATGGGGAAAACCTCACATAACTAACCACTTCTGTGGAAATTACACAAAAATCTTATCAACATAACAATCTCATGGTGACTCCAC